CCCAGCTACGTCGTGTTATACTTGTAAGAATTGTTCTAGACATGCCGAAAATTTGACGGTACAGCACAGCAGCTCTTCTTCTTGGTTTTCTCTGATGGACTAACTCTGCAGCAGCACTTCTTCGTCGTCGTCTCGTCTGATGCACTCACTCAACCAAGCGTTCTAACCACAACCTCGCCCCTCCCCACCCCCCAACCATTCGACTTTCTGAAGGCGGGAATTATTTTTAATGATATTCTAATGAGCCGCTTTGTGATATCACAAAGCCAGGAAAACAAACGCTGTAGTCCAAACGAGCCGTTCGTTGTAGTTCTTGAAAAGGGATTTAAAAAAAACTAAATATCTCCCTTTGGAGTGGACTTTGAGATTTGTAACTTTCTAGATATTTTTTATGCCCAAACATACACACTACACACTGACTAAAATGAGCAAGTAGTGCTAGCAGAAGGTTTCTACTGTGGGTTTGTTGATCTGGTGAGATGTTTGGTTCACCTACTGATGTTTCATCAATGACGTATGTGAGTGTGTCTCTATCAGCATCTGTGGCCTGGGCTGTAAACACTACAGAGTTTACCGCTGTTAACTGAACAAACACATCAAACAGCAGAAGATGGGAGAAGATCTCAGGAATGGAGTAAAATATGGGAAAATGTTTTAAATATATGCCGCTCAAAACTCGATAAGACTTTAATGTTTTTGAAAGTTTCTTATGCTCACCAAGGCTGCATTTATTTGATCAAAAGTACAGTAAAACTGTAATATTGTGAAATATTATTACAATTTCAAATAACTGTTTTTTTTTTGTTTTTTTGAATATATTTTAAAATGTAATTTATTCCTGTGATGCGAATCTGAATTTTCAGCATCACGACTCCAGTCTTCAGTTTCACATGATCCTAAAGAAATCACTCTAATATTAATTCGAAAAAGAAATCTTTGGTAGTATTTTTAATGCCTTTACTTTCACCTTTGATCAATTTAATGCATCCTTGATGAATAAAAGTATTCATATCTCATTTTGAATGGTAGCGTATGTCAACACACGAAAGAGAATGTATGTTGAGTTTTGTTTCTGCTGTGTTTTACCTCACTGAGCAGCAGAGGATGAACTGAACTTTGTAGGAACTCGGGTTTGTTGTCATTCTCGTTCAGAACCTCTACCATGATCCTGTGTTCAGCCTGACAGCAACATTACTTTTAATTGACAAGTATAAATTGTATAGATAAATCCAGTTTTCTAAGAGGATGCTGCTGTATGTCACAGGTTATTCAACTTACCTGTAGGACTTTGTGTTCGTAACACCTTACAGTTGCTGTTAAAAGTGAGCCGTGTATCTGTAATGTCATTATAGACAAATCATATTAATAATTGAAACAAAATCATGACAGAAGATGATAGTGTAATAGCCTAAAGATTTGTTTTAATGTTACCTCTCTATCAATAATCTTAGTTAATGTTGAGTTCAGTCTAATGGTCCTTCCCTCCAGATAAAACCAATCGGCATCTTTTCCAGAAAGTTTTAAGCGCATGTGATTGGCTGATGGGTGTGCAGTGAAACTGAGGGTGGCAATAAAAGTCCCCATCAGGCTGTTCTCTTTGACTTTGGCAAGCAGGTCATGCCCACCGTCACAATCGTTAGCTGCCAAAAATAGACACATTTCATTTATTTTAATAGCATTTTCTTTATATTTCTAATTACATTCGCTGTAATGTAAAATGTTGGCTTATTTTCTATGTCCAGTTGATAGTAAATTACAAATGTATCTGGTAATGATTTAATTTGTCAGTTATTAAGGTGACGTGACATGTGGCCAAGTATGGTGACCCATACTCGGAATTAGTGCCCTGCATTTAACCCATCCAAAGTGCACACACACAGCAGTGAACACACACACCGTGAACACACACCCAGAGCAGTGGGCAGCCATTTATGCTGCGGCGCCCGGGGAGCAGTTGGGGGTTCGGTGCCTTGCTCAAGGGCACCTCAGTCGTGGTATTGAAGGTGGGAGAGAGCGCTGTACATTCACTCCCCCCACCTACAATCCCTGCCGGTACGAGACTCGAACCCTTATGAGTCCGACTCTCTAACCATTAGGCCACAACTTCCCGTCTACATCATGTCTGTACAAGGAGCTTGATGTTCAGCACAGCTCTGACAGATTAGCTTGACTGGATTGTTGCCTGGATACTGATTTGTTCTTAATTTTCCGTGGCGCACAGATTGGA